ATATAATCACTCTTTATATCCTAACTTAGTAAGGTAAAGGAAGGTTGCCTATTTATTCCCTAAACCTTGGTTGTCAGTTTCAGAGCCATATTTTCATCAGAATAAGGAAGGGCCATAGTACTATTAATAGACATTTTCCCCCTAAGATCTGATAGTTATTTGTAGTTCAGTATTGTCAAACTTCAATGGGAATAGTCTTTACAATATTAAGACCTAATTTCTTTTCTATGTGAGGAATAAATCTGACTTTGTACCATCAGCCGCAAGCAGTTAGTGATGTTCAGCGTGATGCACCCTGGGAGAAAAGACCACTGGCTCAGGCTCATGGTTTTTCTGGTTTCCTATAGAATCTGCTGTAAGTCAGCATCACCACGGAGCAGGATGCCCACTGGTGTGCTTTCCAGATAGGGAAGGAAATTTGCTCATCTCTGCTGCCTGCTGGCACTGGATTTTCTTTGACTGCTCTCTGTGCTCATTTCATCCTTAATTAGCCTGTCTCGTATTATGTATGACTTGTAAGACACCTCTGGTACACACTTAGAAGTTTGACTTTGAATCTTCAGATACGATTACTCAGCAGTCATAAATGGAACATTTCCATATCCTTTTGGCAGTCATCAGCATTTGTCGTTCTATTCCGCTGCATGTGGCGAGATGCAGCTATTTCTGATTCCTCTTGTGAATGACAACCCCAGCCCAGTATGAGATTTCTCCACCTCTGAATTCCTATCAGATTTGCAGTGTGTAACCCACAGGCTCACATTGATTCAATTCTAGCAGCACAAGTACCCTACTTCATACAGATTTATATATCACACCTTAGGTATATTGATTTCTGTGTAACCTCAGGTATATTGCAGACCTCTCTATACCTCCATTTCCTCACCTATAAAATGAGGGTGACATACTTACTTTACACTGTTGTTGGAAAGTTGCCTCAATGAAGTTTTAGCACAAACCATGTCACACACTCCAGCATTTTCCTGTGTGAAGAGGCAGGGAGCACAATTGTGTCTCCTAGAGAGAGCATCTGACTAAGACCTGGACAGTTGTATGGTTAATACAGGAAGGAATGGGAAGAAGAAGGAGGAAGATATGTCTGGCCTTCTCTGGAAGATATGTCACCTTCTCAGGCCAAAGTCCACATCTTATTTCTTACCTCTTTTAATATTTAGAATATTGAGCAACTGGAAAGTGTACAGTGTTTGCTTATTGCCTGAAAGCCGTAGGGTTCTTATTTAATTCATAGATTATGCCAAAAAGGCACAATTTCTATCCAGTTGAACTTAATGCAGGACGAAGGAAGTTTTCTGTGCTATTGAAATGTTATTTACCTTGAATTTAAGGTATCCATAAATTAATTTATGGTTTGTTTCTCAGAGAATTGTAGTCATTTCAGAGGATAAACCTCTAAGCCAGCGGTGCTGTGAAGATAGTTGTTACAAATGTATGGAGCCATAAAGCGTAACTTGTTTTGAGGACTGGTAAAATGAAGTCCTTTAAAAGACTGAAATGCTACAGTGAAAAATGCTCATTTTCTTAAAGGTTGACATTTGGCCCTGAGGAGTAGTCCAGTGTCCTGTGGACTGTAGTTGACAAGTGCATGCTGTGGTAATTACTTCAGATTGGAAAAACTAGCTAAATCTGCAAAACAGGTGAACTAAGGTCACCAACAAAAGCTTTTCTTTCTTCTTTGGAATGGAACCAGAATTCACTTGCCTCTCTTTAGCACAGTGTACCCTACTTCTTACTGATTTACATATAACACCTCAAGTATATTGATTTATATGCAACCTCAGTATATTACAAGCATCTCTATCCCGCCATTTCCTTATCGATAAGATCAGGGTGACCCTACTTACTTTACAAGGTTCATAAGAAGTCACCTCACTGAAGTACTAGTACAAACCATGTCACCCAGTACAAATATCCACAACTGTAAGTCACTTCCTGCCTTCTAAAGTCACCATCTGAAGCTTATCCTTAACATCTGGGAGCTTCCTTTGCATCTTCTCTGCCTGCCATTTACCTAACTTCTTCTAACTTACTTTTGGCATATCATCAGGATAGACTAATCTCTAGAAAAGAACATTATTGTTTAATAAGTCAGCCAAAACAAAGGACACCCTCAATATAAAGGACTGACAGAAATAACTGCTACACTGTACTCAAGCCAGTAAGTGGTCACAGGGCCAGACATCATTTTCTTCTGTTGTGTATGCATGAGATCTCTCTGTGAGTCCAGGATTCATTTTGTCTTATCCAGTTGTCAGTTGAGAGAATGTATCCTACTTCCTTGAGTAATTTTTTTAGGGGAAAGGATTGACAGTTACAAACCTCAAAGAAAAATATTTGTATCATTTTCTCACAAATCAACTTTTAGATGTACTTCACTTTGTGAGCCAAATATATTATTTTTAATTTACCAACTGAGATTTTTGGGTTGTTCTTTGTTGGGTTTTTTTTTCCATTCATTGTTGCCAGATATTTAAATGTATAAGAAATACATTTTTTGTTTTGTAAATGTGCCATTTAAAACAAATCAGTATGTGATAACTTTTAAAATAAATTGTGATTTATATATAATTGAATTCTACCAAGGGAGCAAACAGGTCTGTCTTGGGGAAAGTGCAGCTAGGGTGCTCCAAGGATGGTGAAACTTCACCTCAGGTACTTCAGGCAAGTTGTTAATGGGGGCTTTTCCTTGGAAAGGGACATCATGCTTGGAAAGGAAGAGGGTTAGCATAAGAGAGGGGGACTTGCAATGAGATGGATTGACACAGTGGCTGGAGCAAAGGCCTCAAATATGTCAGAGTTTATGAGGATGGCACAGGATTGGGCAGGGCTTAGATCCATTGTTCATAGGGTTACTATGACTCTCAGTCAACTTGATGGCACATAAGAACAACAGCAGATAGCTATGTTGTTGTTGTTGTTGTAGTTGTTGTTATGTGCCGTCAAGTCACCTGTGACTCATGATGACCCTATGTACAATAGCCCTAAACTCTGCCCTAGCCTGTGCCAATCGCACTGTCTCCAACACATCCATCCCTATTACCCCAGTCACTGAATCAGTCCGCCTCATAGAGGGCCTTCCCCTCCTGCACTGTCCCTCCACCCTCCCAAGAACGACGTCCCTCTCCAGGGACCTGTCCCTCCTTACAACATGTCCAAAGTATGTCAGACGAAGCCCCAGAATCCTTTCGTCCAAGGAGTAGCCTGGCTTAACCCTGTCTAGGATGAATCTGTTTTCTTACCAGTCTGTGGTACATTCAATACTCTTCTCCAGCACCACAGCTCAAAGGCATCAATTCTTCTATTATCACTAGCCATTGTCCAGCTCTCTGATGCATAGCAAGTAGATAGTTAATAATTGTTGATCTTTTAGTGCTGACAAGCCAGGTTCTAAGCATTTTTTGTTTATGAACTCTTTCTGTCCTCGTGGGAACTCATTGCTGTCAGTTGGAAACAACTCAGAGCTTAACCTCTGGTCAGCTGTTACTAGACTGCAACAGAATAAAATACTGCCCAGTTCTGCACCACCTTTATGGTGTCACTGAGTTCGAACTCATTGTTGAAGTTAGTCTATCAGTCCACTGTGTGGAGTATAAAATCCTCTGCTTACTTTTCCAAGTGTGATGTCCTTGTCCAGGGATTAGACCTGCCTGATAATATGTCCAAAGTTCATGAAACAGACTAGCCACCCTTGTTTCTGTGGAGCAATCTGGCTACACTTCTTCCAAAGCAAAGATGTCCACTCTTTCGTCAGTCTAATTCAGTATTCTTTACCAAACTCATAATTCAAAGACATCAATTGAATTCTAAGACACCACCTGAAAAACAGTTCTTCTTTTGTTTTCCTGTTCGTTGTTTAATTTTCAGATGTGTCATACTCACTCAGTCTTTGCCATTGCGTCAAAACTGACCTCCAAGGTGGTGTTCCGTGTCTGTGAGTCACATGGGAGGAGATGACCCATCTTTCTCTCACAAAGCTGCCAGAGGCACTACCTTTGAGTCAGCAGTGCAGCTCGAGACACCACCAGAGCTCCCTTCAGTTCCTAGAGAGACAATTCAAAATACTAGTTTGAGTTTACTGCACCTTAGTCTTCAGAGTGAAATTTTTGTTTTTTAGAACCTTCAAGAGTTCTATTGACAGCAGATTTCATTTGTTTTAGTTCTTGATTATAGCTTCCATGGACATGGATTTTTAGATTTAAGTGAAATGAAATTAATGTAGGAATGTAGATATGCAAGCATTTCTGCACCAACTGTGGAAAAAGTTAATAAATTGAATTGGAGCTTGCATGCCCTAGTGGGTAGGGAGTTGCACTGCCTATTCAAAGGCTAATGGTTTGAATCCATCAGATACTCCTCAGAAGAAAGAGAGGCTGTCTCTTCCCATGTGATTTACCACCTCTAAAATCCTGCTAGAGGGTCAATATGAATTTGTTCTGACTCAACACAAATGAGTGAGTGAGCGTTCTATTATAAAAAAGCTGACGATACTAATTGCATGTGACTTTTAAACTTTAATTAATTAAGCAGAAATGAAACTAAAATGTAGTTTCTCTTATCACCCTAACCATACAGCAAGTGGCCATAACCACATTTGTGGCTAGTAGTCACTTTACTGGACAGAGAGAGAACATCCCAGAATCACAGAAAGTTCTGTTGAAGAGTGAAGCTCTAAGAGAGACCGCTAACAGGGAAATGATGCTAAGTGTACATTGCCTTTCCACTGTGATTTTTCTCTTTCAACCCTACAGTCAATGTTTATTTCTATTTAAATGGAAATACAAGAGTTCTAGCATGGCCTGTTCCTTAAGTCGGTGTGCTTATGGATGCTTTTTACCTATGACAAAAAAAGATGAGAAGGACTGATGAATCACCGGCATTATAAATTCACTGCAAATGTGAAATTGCAAAATGTGAAAGTCATAAATGTGAAAGCAGCTTTCAATATGTTCTAATAGGTGTTTTCTATGTCTGTTGTAACCTAGGGACCTTGCTGCAAGAAATTGCCTGGTAAGTGAAAATAATCTCCTGAAAATCAGTGACTTTGGAATGTCTCGTCAAGAAGATGGTGGAGTCTATTCATCTTCTGGCCTAAAGCAGATACCCATTAAATGGACAGCACCAGAAGCTCTCAATTATGGTAAGGACAGACGGCTTCTCCTTTCAGTGATAAAATGACTCTTTCTGCAACATAAATAGAGAAAGTTCCAGAGGTAAAACTTAGAATGACTTGAAGATTAACACACATAATGTGTACAGGTTCATACACTGAAACATGAACACAAACATCGTTCATTAAAATGATTCATCGTATTTCTGTACATAATAGTGTCAGATTAATATGATAGATGGACAAGCATTTAAAAATGTAACTAATCATCTGACAGAAATTATTCCCTTTTCAAAGAAAAGGTGATTTTCATTTTATAATAATCAGTTTGTTATTATTGTTTTTATGTACCATTGATTTAAGTATGACCCGTAGCAACCCTCTGAATAACATATCTGAACCTTGTTCTATCCTGTGCTACCCTCACGATCCCTAACACACTCTAGTCCGTTACCGCAGTCACTGTGTTGATCCATCTGATTGAGTCTTCCTCTCTTCTACCTCCCTCCACCCTTCCAATGGCGGTGTCCCTCTCCAAGGAGTAGCCTCTCCTAGCAACTTGCTCAAAATTATACGGAGAGTAAAATCCTTGCTTTGTACAATTTCTTTTGAAAGTCTTATAATTGGTCCAGTATTCTCACCTTGTGTTAGACCCCTAAAATATTAAGTCAGACATTTCTTTAGTTTTTCATTCTGAAAAGTGACATAGTTTCATAGCATCTCAGTCTCTGAAAGTTGTATAAATCTTGTTGAAAAGAGAGATACATTTTAAAACAGCAGGGATTTCTTTTTCCAGCTGATTTTTCTGTGTTACTGTAATTGGAAATAAATATAGCATTATCTGTAGGTGGGATGAAATGGGCCATATCAAGATGGATTAACAGTGCAGGAATTTAAAAAATGACCAGATTGTACTTTAAGTGAAATTTGAAAATACATTTTCTTTAGGAGTTGCAGCTAGCTTATGATCCCATGGGCTGGTGAACCATTATAGTCTTGTTTTGACTAAAAATAAAAAAAATTATTCTTTATGAATTTAAAACAAAAAGCACTTCATCAAGAAATTTAATCTTTGAGAGTTTTCTAGGATTAAAGATACACACACCCAAAAAATATTTCTGCCATCAAATGGATTCTGACTCATGGTGACAATATAGAATGAAAAGAACTGCCTGTAGGATTTCTAAGGCTGTAAATTGTGACTGAAGCAAATTGTCTCATCTTTGTCCTGTGCAACAACCAGTAGGTTCCCAACTTTAGGCTAAAGGCAGAATTCCTTAACCACTGTCCCACTAGAGCTCTTTCAAGTTAAAGACAAATAAATATTCTTAATATATTTAGTTTGGTAGTTTTTAGGATCAATCTATACACCAAAAGTCTGTGTTTAAGGAGCTGCATACTAACAACACTATGAAATAAATAGGTGTAGGTAGTTGTCACCATAAAGAATTGACTAAGTTATAGTAGTTGACAGCATTGACGTCTTTGAACCTAATACTCTACAGATACAAAGCATCACCCTTAGTTTGCCTTCCTTTGTGCCAGCAAGAGAGCCTTTAGTGAACTGTCAAGTCATAACAAACCAACTCTGCTGTTTCTCAGAATCTAAAGCCAGTGATATCTGTGCTTCTTTATATGGTGATTCTTTTCTAAGGCAGTTGGTTTTTGACTCTTGGTAAGAGAGATGAGCAATCTTGTCAGAAACCCAATGGAAGGTCACCAGGGGTCACAATCCATAACAAATGTGCTTATATTAGTAAGGGATAATCACAGAACAAGACGTAGGATTGCAACACTAAATATTTATACAGAAGCTTTCTTGAGAGCACTCAAAATATTTTTAAACCCCTTCTGGTTGATTGTTAGAACACCCCTGTGAGGAAACTACCTGGACTCCAGTGTCCCACAGTCTTCCCATTATGCTTTTGTGTGGTTTTTTTTTAAATCATACAGTTAAGCAACTACTCACTCCTTCACATTGCCATTGCGTTGGAACTGACCCATCGCTGACTCTGTAGCAGATTTGCAGGGGCTTTAATTGGAGGATATTGCCCATTTTTTCTTCCACAAGATAGCTGATGGGTTTGAACTGACCACCTTTAGGTTAACAGCTCAACTTTTTATCTGTTGTTGTTAGATTTTGTTGAGTTGAGTACAATTCATTGCAAACCCATGAATAATCAATCTGAACACTTCCCTATCTTGTGCCATCCTCACAATCTCTGATACACTCAAGCCTGTTGCCATGGTCATCATGTCTGGTTGAGGGTCTTCCTCTCTTTCACTTCCCCTTCACCTTTCCAGGCATGATTTCCCTCCCCAAAGAAGAACCTCTCCTAGCAACATGTCCAGAGTATTTGAGATGACGCTTTCTCATCTTTACCTCCAAAGAACACTCTGGCTGCACATTCTCTGAGGCATACCTGTTCTTTTTGGCAAACCGATCTTCAGCACTCTTCTTTCAAACAACTAAACCAAGTAAAATCCTACCTCTCACATTTACAACATCCAGGTTAAACTTCTCACAGTTCTCTTTCTATGTGCTATTCTAGCAGTTTTTTAATGATCTTCAGCAATACTTGTTTATATGTGATATGAATGATATTGTTCAATAATTTCCATATTCTGTTGGGTCACCATTCCTGGGAATGGGAGCAAATATGAATCTCTTCCAGTCAGTAGGCCAGGCAGCTGTCCTCCAAATTTTCAGGCATGCATTGATGAGTTATGGACTCATTAGGGCTTGTTAAGTGCTGCATCTGTCATTTGAAACATGCCAGTTGGTAGCCCAACAATTCCTGGGACTCATTTATTTTGTTAGTGCCTTCAGTGCAGCTTGAACTTCTTCCTTCATTACCATTGATTCTTGATCATATTGAGAAGAGGCTGTGGCACCAAGAATATCATTGCTGATGTCAGATGGATCCTGGCTGAAAGCAAAGAATACCATAAAAATGTCTATTTGTGTGTGCTTTATGGACTATGCAAAGGCAGTTAACTGTGTGGATCATAACAAATTGTGGCTAACATTGAGAAGAATGGGAGTCCCAGAGAACTTAATTGTGCTCATACAAAATCTGTACCTAGACCAAGAGGCTGTTGTGTGAACAGAGCAAAGGACACTTCATGGTTTAAAATTAAGAATGGTGTGTGTCAGGCTTGAATCTTCTCCATACTTATTAAATCTGCATGCTGGGAAAATCACTTAAGAAGCTGGACTCTTATGAGGAAGAATGTGGCATCAGGATTGAAGGAAGACTCATCAGTAACCTTTGTTATGTATATGACACTACCTTGCTTGCTGAAAGTAAGTAAGACTTGAAGCATTTGCTGCGGAATTTCAAAGATAGCCTTCAATATGTATTACATCTCAACATCAAGAAAACACAAATTCTCACCACTGAACCAATAAGCAACATCATGATAAATGTAGAAAAGATTGAAACTGTTAATGACTTCATCTTACTTCATCACAATCAATACACTTGTTACCAAGAGTCGGGAGATCACTGGGAAAGTGTGAAATCAGGGACCTTTCCACATTACTGAGGAACAGTAATGTAAGTTTGAGCACTAAGGAGCGCCACATTCAGGCCATGGTCTCTTCAATCACTTGATATGCAGGTGTGAGAACTGGACAGTGAATAAGAACGACAGAAGAAGAATGCCTTTGAACTATGGTTTTGGAGAAGAGTACTAAATATCCCATGGACTGGCAAAAGAACAGATATGCCAGAGTGCTCCTTGGACTCAAAGGTGATAAAGCTTCATTTCACATACTTTGGGCATTGAGGAGAGGAGATGCTAGAAGAAGCTACTCCTTAGAAATGGACATAATGCTTGGAAAGATAGTGGGACAGCAAAAGAAAGGAAGACCCTTTACCAGGTGGATTGAAATAGTGACTGCAGCAGTGGGCTCAAGTGTGTCAGAAATTGTGAGAATGGTTCAGACCTGTTGTTCATACAGTCATTATGAGTCATACTCAATTGGATAGCACCCAGCAGCAACAATGAAGTATAAGTCCCTTTTCTACTCTAATTACCCACTTTTTCTCAGAAATAAATATGCTTATTATGTGTTTCTACTTCTCCCAGACATTTCTCAGCTATTTATTTGTATGTATCACCCACCTCTTTTGTTTGTTTACACAAAGTGGTAGCATATTTCATAGGCTGTTCAGTATATATTCCCATCATTTTCAGTTGTTGCTATCACTAGTCTAAGGGTGACAGAAGAATTATTGATACCTTTGAGTTATGATGCTGGAAAAGAGTATTTAACATACTGTCCACCACCAGAAGAACAAATAGGTCTGTCTTGGAGAGGGTAAAACCAAGTGTCTCCTTGGAAGCAAGGATTTTGAAGCTCCGTCTTACATACTTTGGGCATTTGGCCAGGAGGTATCAAACTTTGTAGAAGGGCATCATGCTTGGAAGGGTGAAGGGACAGCATAGGAGAGGAAGACCCTAGATGAGATGGATTGGCACAGTAGATGGGACAATGAGAATAGGTGTGTTTGTAGTCAGTGAGGCTGGCTTGGGATAGGGAAGAGTTCAGAGCTATTGTACACAGGGTCACAATGAGTCATGAGTGACTGGATGGCACATAACAACATCAGCAAGGTGATGTTAGGTGCTGTCAAGTTGAGTACAACTAATAGCGACCTATGAAGAGCAGATCTGAACCCTGTCCTATCCTGTGCCCATCTCACAATCTCTGACACACTTGAGCTTATTGCTGCGGTCACTGTGTCAAACTGGTTGGTTGAGGGTCTTCCTTTCTTTTTCCCTCCCTCCACCTTTCTAAGCATGATGTCCTTCTCCAAGGAATAGCCTCTCATAGTAACCTGCCTCAAGGATGAGACAAATCCTCCCCTCCAAGGAGCACTCTAGCTGCACCCTCTCTGAAAGACATCGGTTTGCTCTTTTGGCGGTCCATGAGATATGTGGTACTCTTCTCCAACACCACAGTTCACAGTTACCAAGGTATTATAGGGAAAACAGGGTGCTTAGTCTACAACTTGGGGATAAAATAATCTATTCATCTACTAGGGAGCCCTGGTAGAGTGGTCCAGAGGGAATTTACATTGCTAACTGAAAGACTCTGCCTTTCTGTGGGATCAATTCACCCAACAGCTCCATGGGAGCAGTCTCCTTCCAAACACCTTACAGCCTGGGAAAGCCTGCTGGAGTGTCAGCTATGAGTTAGTTCCAGTTTGATGGCAGTGTGTTAACAGTGATTCATCAATGACTGAATTTTTGTCGTGGTCACCTGGGAATTTAAGCCTAAGCACCCTAATTCAGTTAGTGTGATGTTGTAACTAATCCTCAAGTATTCCAGTGAGAGAGGCAGGATTTTTAGTGAGTAAACAGGAACCAGGTTTTGCAACAAGTTTCACCATGAGCTTTATGAATCTGGTAAGCCATCTACATCTTGGCATCTACATTTCCTCATTACTAAGGTAAGAATGCTAATACCTCTTTCTCCTACTAGAGTATTGAGAGCATCAAATGAAAGAAGTGAGAGTAGCAAAATACTGTACAATTGTAAGTTACTTGTACCTCATTAAAATTACCTAGTAAAACCAGGTTCAAAGGCCAAGGTAATAGGTTTTAAGTTTTTCTTCTGGATTGTGATTTTGGCTTTTACATTACTTGATGGTGCCCAAATATTATCTTACCAGAAAAAAATATATCTATGACAGTGTATAACTTACACTTTCTTAAAGAACAAATTAGTCTTCACTCAAAGCCATTGAATGACTTTCATGAAAAGTATTACATTATTGGATGTCAAACTTGAAAAGAGTTGATATACAGACAAGAAAACTAATTTTCCACCAAACAGCATAGTCAATGTCCATAATTACTGCCTTCTAAGAAGGAAGCTAATTCACACAGCTGGAAGTGATAATCAGTAAGTATACTCCAGACTCTGACGTCAGCACAGTACAGGCAAACTCTCATTTTCATTTTACTTTTTTCAAGAAAGAGAAAAGGCCATCCTACTTGAAAGCAATAAGCTGCTTTTGGAGGAAGGCCATTTATAAAACACTGTAATGACGGAGTTGAGACAGGAAGCTACAAGAGGGACAGTGAATGAAATAATTTTGAGAAGCTGTTTAGTACCGCTGCACATGGTATTTTGTTATGATTGCATATGCTTTATATGTAAAATTTAAACAAAAACACAAAGTTGTTGAGAAAATCTTGGTACTTCTTAACCCCTAGGATCCTGGGAAGAATTTAATCTCATATCCATCTCCAGAAGGCACCTTTAGTGTGTTTTGTTGTTTGGGGTTTTTTTTCTCCCCGTCATTCTCTAAAATCACCCCTTTCATGTATTTCAGTGAAACAGGTGCACCAAGCTATTTTGACAAAACGAGGCACATGGAATTTAAAGTTGTTTTTATCAGCCAGCTATGTTAATTTCTGCTCAGTTCAAAACAGTTTCATTTACAGAAACTACTTTTTTTTCTATCAGTGTAAAATGAGACCTTTAAGTATGTAAGAATACCAGTAAACAGTGATGAATAAAAATTTAAAGTTAAGAAACTTCCCTCATTGCTTAAGTTTGTTTTTAATTTTAGGGAGAAATGATAATAGAGAAAAGCTACCATTTCTGAAAAGATTCATCTTCTTGGCATTAAAGTGCACAAATTTATACCTTTTTTTCCTTAAACAAGTTATCCACAGTAAAAGTAAGAGTGCCTGCTGGCTGATGCTTGTTCCTGAAGAGAAAAGAAAGTGATTTGGAAGTTAGTTTGGTTTAACTAGCAAATTTGAGACTGCTCCTTTTTTTGTGTTCTGTCAAGTCAGAACCAGCCTACAGCAGATCTTCCAGCACGTTTTCTGAGGCAGTTAAGTTTTTGCCCATCCTTCTCGCTTGGAGCAGCAGTAGGTTTAGAACCACATGCCTTTGGGATTGCAGCTCAGTTTCTTACCTCTAGCCCGCAGGAGCTCCCTTTTAGTTCCTTTAGTTGATAACATTACCAAACCTGAAGAGTAAAATCAGTAGATTGACTAGGATCACTAGTTGTTGAGTTTCATTGTTAAGCTTAAAATATGTTTATGTGTGAGTGATGTTCATATGGACCGAGAAGTGTCCTCCCTCATGTCCACTCTGCCTCACCTGGCTGTGGTTGCTATTCCCCTTCAGGGAGATACAGTTCTGAGAGTGATGCGTGGAGCTTTGGTATCCTCCTCTGGGAGACCTTCAGCTTAGGAGTGTGTCCATACCCTGGAATGACCAATCAGCAGGCTCGAGAACAAGTGGAAAGAGGTGAGTCAAGATCCACATCCAGCCCTGGGGCAGTGCCGGTGCTGTGTCTAATGGCCACATTTCCCAAGGAGAGGGGAGGACACCATTTGAGTATCTCAGGAGAGAGCAGGAAAAAGAAAGTTTTTAAGAACTTTCTGACAGAAATAAAGCTCCTCTTTGGGGTTCCTAGATTTGAGATGGAAATTACTGGGTGACGGTATCACTCTAACATGTATTTATTCAGACTGCAGCTTCTAAGCTTTAAGCAGAAAGGATGCTTTCAACAAACAGCAGGTACCTAGCATCAGACTTCTGAATAGGGAATGGTTATAGAAGTGAGTGCAGGAGATTTGACTTTCTAGCTTTCTTCCTTTGCTTTGCAGACTTCACATTCTCTTAAACAAACACACAAGAGCACATACATCCTATCCAGCAACTGCTGCACACCACCAGACAATTTGAATTGAAGATTCTTCCTAGACTGTAAAGGAATACAATTCACATTTATTTGTATTTCACCTGTGGATTGTTGTTAGGTGCTATTGAGTCCACCACAACTCGTAGTGACCCAAGGAACAGCAGACCTGAACCTTGTCCTATCTTGCACCATCCACACCGTCTTTGATGGTTCTTACCCACTGATACAGTCACTGTGTCAGTCTGTCTTGTTGAAGGTCTTCCTGTCTTTCTCTGACCCTCCACCTTTCCCAGCATGATGTCTTTTCCAAGGACTGACCTTTCCTGAACCCTCATCTTCCATCATCTTCAAAATGTTGTTGAACTGATTTTTTAAAAAACCTATGCAGCATGTTCACTGGTTGTAGAGCTGATTTTTTTTAAAATTTACCCAGCGCTTCTAACAGCAGTTTCTGAAAGAACTGAGATTTATATTTGTATGTGACTTATCTTGTATCAAACCTTGTGTTAAGCAAACAAATTAGAACACCTCCTGTGATGAAAATAATTCTTTAGTTCTATAGTACTGGATTCTACACCACCTATAGAGAGGAAAAACCAGTTTGCTTTGAAATGGAATTCTTGTTGCTGTCACACCTACAACATAAGGTACTAAGTTTCAAGACTGTCTAATGCCTTTGTGAACACGTTACTTCTATGCTAAATTCTTTGCTTCTCTTCTCTTGGGTCTTCAGGATACCGAATGTCAGCCCCTCAGAATTGTCCAGATGATATTTTCAAAATAATGATGAAGTGTTGGGATTATAAGCCTGAAAACCGCCCCAAATTCACCGATCTTCAGAAAGAGCTGGCTGCCATCAAGAAGAAGATCTCACAAGGATAAAGCACTGCCCGAGTCAGCATTCGGCACTGTGTCTCCGGCAGAGTCGTAGTGTTCTTCCTGACAATGCATTTATACCACATCACCTGCAGCAGCCTTCTAAGGTTATTTTTCTATCAACTATTTGGAGTTTTTTGTAATATGTCCCACTTCCAAAAAAGTCAAATGTAAATGGATTAAAAAATTAGTTCAACCATGGGCTTTTATAGTTAATGACAGTCATCCTGCCATTCCAGGCTATTGTAAACAGAAAAGCACAGACAGACTTTCAACGTGAGGGACAGCCTATCTGTCTTTTCCACAAGCAGAACTATTGATGTTTCTCGAAGGTTTTCTGCTTCAGACACAGTCACGGACTGCCATCCTAGGCTGCAGGGAACTACTCTCTTGGTGCTATAAACTTCATTGGTAATGCCACACTTGCAAGGCACATTCCAACCAAAGTTGGCTTTCAACACTACCAAAAAAAAGATAATATGTATACATATCATTCATTACTGGAAACTTTTTGGATTGCTTAGGGTTTTTCTTTGCCATTTTTCTAGAAACTAGCCCAGTGTAAACGTCATCATACTGCAGCTTGGTTAATAGAGTGGTCATTTTCCTCGTTCTCTGCCCAGACATGTGCTCCTAGAGGGCACTGTAGAGAACTATATTGTCACTGCAGCGACAGCAAGAACAAGTTAGAATAGAGATGTGTTCTGAAAAAAAGAGCAGCTAGAATGGTGATCAAAGCAGAGGAGGAAAGGGAAATAGAAAATCAGCCTTCTTACCAGAATTATACCTTTATAAACATACGCGCAAATACATGCCCTTTTTATTTTATAGTATGAGTTCACCCAGAGTCCTAAGAAATGTTTCAAGGATTCATAGACAGAAACTTGCATGCAACAAAAAGAAAAGAAAAACACCTGAGAACTGCAGAGCTCAAGTTTACCAAATAACAGTCCCTCATGTCAAAGGACACATTTCAAACGTTAGTTCCCTTCATTTGTACCAGATTCCTACCTGTCAGGATTTCATGATCTTTACTCACAGATAAACTTGTGTTTCTGGGTATGTGGATACACTCACCCCTCGCAATGAACAAGGCAGTTATGAGCGAAGTAGACAGTTCAGACGTCAGGTGCACATTAATGAAGCCAAAAGCACTTGTGAGGAGACATGAGAAGAGCCATCCTATCTCCACCCTGCCCTATGATTTACCCTTATACTGCTACCTGAAATTTTTTATTATTACTTGACAGGTAGGCAAGCACAGTACCAGAGATATTCTATGTGAATAAAACATGCTGTAGAATTAAAATTAAGATTCTGTAGAACTGAACCTTAGCACCATCTAGGGAACTATGCCACATTTTGTATATAGTTGCCTCTTGGGGTAAATATGTGTATAGGAGGTAGTCATGCTCAGGGGTAAAGGTGGCCAGGAGTTTAAATGCTCATGCCTGTGTGCAGATACGTAGTACCTTAGTGAAGGTTTGGCCTACACTCATTAGAAGAGCCCAAGAAAGAAAATTTCTCCTGCCTTCTTCAGCTATTTGCTGCCTATGAAGATCAGGGCTCAAAACTCATGGCCAGTACTTTAAAAAGTAAAAGGGATGGTACCAAAAAGGAAAATAGCTTGTGCTTATCATTTCACTCTACATGTAAGTGTACACATTTAATGATACTATACTCAGAGTAGATCTGGTGGACTCAGCTGCTATACAAAAAGGTCAGTGGTTTGACCTCATTTTAAACTCACTCAGTTTAAAAAAGCCTTAGAGGATTCCATTCAGCCTTGGAAACCCTTTGAAGGCAGTTCTACTCTGTCCTATAAGGTTGCTTTGAGTTGGATTCACCTCATTGGTAATAGTTAGGTTTTATTTTCCATTCAGACTAACAACAAAACGTAGTAAACTTGCCCTCAAAAAATCCTTGTAATATGTCAGTGACTTCTTTTCTACTAAGTCTGGCTTTTCCTTCTGTCAAATGTCATAAATAAATGAAAACTCCTTTTGATGACACTGTAGTGGTAAATCAAAGCCCAAGCTCCTGAGTTAAATGCTGCAGTCTTTAGGTGTTTGTCAGCCCTCAGAAGATAAGATGTATTTCTTTTAAATGGAATTTTTTTTCTATTCATAATATTCTTTGTTTAGAGAAAACAGCCTTCTCTCACTTAGGAGCGTCAGTGCTAAGCTCTCGGAGAGAAGAGAGAGCAATGGTTTTGATTTTAATTTTGTGAACAAGACCTGAAGATGAATCCTTGCATTCTAGTGTAAAGGAGGAACATGGCATTGATATTTCACTCATTCAGGCTGTTGAAATTTGCAATTCACATCATAGCTCTATGCTTAAATTTAAAAAGTTTTTCAAAACATCGTGACATCTGCAGCATTTAAATTCTGTCTTATTCTTTGCTCCAAAGCAGACAGTGGTATAGTTCAGGATTAATGACTCATTGCACGTCTTTCAGGGTCATATCAGTTTCACGAAATATTGAATTTAATATAGACACATGTGTTAAGAAAAACTTATGCAAACCATTTTTTTTCACCGTTAATTCTCTTGTGCTGGAGGCACAGTTTACGCATTCCTTCTGCCATGATAATTATTGGGATTATGTACTTTAGGAGGCTAATCCATACCCAGAAAGCACACGTGTGAGTACTGCTCTGAATTTCCAAGCCGCGGTACGGAAAGGAGGCTTCTGTAATGCAGAAAGGACTGTGAGTCATTTACTGAGAAGACAGCTGTAACCAAATTGCCACTGGGATGATTGTAATTAAGCCAGGTCACAAATCTTTGTGTTGTTAATGGATTTTTCAAGAGTTGCATATATCACTCCTGGGTAGTTCTTTTCATAATTTCTCAAACTGATGGATCCTGGGAGTAGAGTATAGGCAGCCCAAGTCTGACATGCATTTATCTCCCTTCAATCACCAAGGAGCCTTTATGAGAAATATATAGATAGTTCATCATCTTTCATGGAAGGGAATCTTTTAATGTCAAATTAACATTTATTACCAACATGTGAAGCTTGAAATTAATTTTGTACTCTGTGTTATATATGGTTACTTCCCAAAGCCAACATATTCTTTAATTTCCAAGGAAATACTAAAGGATTCACAGGTGTTGTTTAAACTTTTAAAAATAGAGATTTTATTTCAGTCATCCCACTGCGAGGTCCTATGTGGAAAGGCAAGTGTAATTGCCTCTTTCTTATCTCCAAATTTCCATCCACAGATCACCATTTTATTACAATATTACTCAAGATTTTAGTAGCATAGGCCATGAGCCTACTTGTGCTGGGTTTTTTACAATAAATATTTTAGAACTGATTTTCATTTTAGGGTTATTTTTATTCCACCTTGAGAAAATATATTTAGTCACTGAAATGGTTTCATTTCTTTTAAGCCGTTGTGTGGTTTTCTTATATATACTAAACTCATGTTTCATTTTTGCCATATGGTTTTATAGTCAGTTTGGCTAATACTAGTAAAGTAACTCTCACTGTCTTTAGACTGTTTCAAGAAGAAAACTTTTTTACTTAAAATAGCCTTCACACTGAAGACCTTGTAGAAGGACAAACACAAAAGTTGGAGTAATGCATGGCAGAATCATATATTATTATTATTATTATTCAGCATTTTGTTATCCATGCACTTAATAATTAATTTTTATGGGTCGTAGAGTGTACCTCAAACTTTGCTAAGTATAACCCTGTGTTTGGAAGCAGGAATAGCATCCACTTCCTAAATAACATGCCTCGGGAAACTCTATGAACTTTGATAAATGTCGATAGCTGTAGAGGGGCCTCAGGCCTTTTGTTCATAGGGTCGCAATGAGTAGTGCTCGACTCGAAGGCAGTTGACAACAACAACGCTGTGTATAAGATTTTGTGGCCACATGTTCTTTGAAGTGAGAGTAATTGCAAGTATTTTCTGAAAGGAGGTTGTATGCCCCAGCCATCTTCTTTTGCCACATACTCCCTTTATCATACCTTTAATATTTTAGATGTTTCTTATCAACACAGGTATTGTCCATCTGCAGTTTTCTGAATCATGGAAAGACTGACTCACTCATTTAAGAGATCAGAGTCCTCACAAAAATCAGCATGATAAAAAATCAGCCAAAGGACCGCCAACTGGAAAAGATACATTTTCCTCACACATGGATCATTAAATGGAATATATGAGGTTTATCATGAGTTTATCTTACATTTACGTTACTATTGACTTAGTGTGAACATGTGCCATTAAAACAATGGTGTTATCTTTTTTAATACTGATTTAATTATATGTAGAAGAATTTTTTAATTACATATTTAATTTTATTTATTTTTCTCTGGTTTTATTAGTCTCTATATTCAATCTGAACACTATATTGTTTGGGAGAATCCAGAACTGCATGTTCATTTCCACAAAAGATGACACTCTGAGTTTTAAAAAGTCACTTTTACAGTTACCAAGATTACTTTCTCTGCAGGGACTATTGATACAGTGTTAGTGTACTATAAAATTTTCCTTTGAAAAATAATACCATAATCCAGAAGGTGTGTCAGCCATCTATCTTATCTATGTCCATGTAAGGCAACAGTTTCTGCTCCTTAAAAACCATCCCGCTGCTGCATACTGATTTCAAGATTAAAATATGAATTGTTAAATACAGGCATGAAGAATCACTTGGCTGCTTAATAATGGCTGACATACTTGAGGCGTGGGTGAAAAATGCAACTATAAACTATAATACACATAGACATCAGTGTATCTGTGATAAGATAGAATACGTGAGCACAAGCAGAGGAGGGAGAACCAGTTATTCTAAAGCAGGTGATGCAGCCCCACAGAGGGTAAGGCAGAACTAAAGTGGAGCAAAGACTTGAAAGGCCACTAGAAAGCCTGAGGAGAACAAGAACATGAGGATGCACCCTTCCCTTTAAAAAGAGAGAGAGAGAGATCTGGTGGCCTAGTGGCAAGAAGCTGCACTGCAATCCCAGAGGCACACAGTTCTAATCCACCAGATGCTCTGCCAGGGAAGGAGCGACAATCTCCTCCTGTACCAGTCAGATCTGATTTGACGGTACACACAAATAAAAAAAAAGAG